CAGTTTTAAAATCCAACTGATGCATTTCAAGAGGAGCTCTTTCATCAGAAAAGATATAGAAATGCCAACATTGATGTTTCATCTTATGAGTTATTCGCATACAAAGTGGACTGTTTCCATAAGTGGCACATACAGGAAAATAAGGAAGGATACGTCAACAAATGATATCATGAATTTATCGTCAAAACATTTAAATCTTTTATCCTTTCAACAATTTCAGAAGTACCCTTTAAACTGTGTTTCACCCAACTCGGTATGAAGAGGCTGATATAGTTCGACCAACCATTTGGGTACGAGATAGTATGGTGAATTTGACATATCTAATACAGGTCGTCGAAGCGGCACACCATTTTTGTGCACTTTAGGCGAGCCATATAATTTTAGCTGTGAACGTTCCAGTGGGTTTAGGTGTGATGTATACTGACTTTGTGAGATGAAGCCTTATTGTTGTTGCTTCAGTCTTCTCAAGGTTTCCGCTAACTGTTTCTCTATCTTTTCAATTGGATCCAGAGAAGAGGAGATTTTTTGGATATATGTGTGAAACTTGAGCACTGTGGTAGTAAGAAATTCCATATATGTTTGTTAAAGGATCAATCCTGTGTGGCCTTTAAAACAAAACTATTTAGTTCATCTAATACCCTCCCTGTCTGCGATGATTGTCAGGTCAAATACATAGATCAAACTAGTAGAACAGGGTCAGTGAGTCGAACTAGCCGAACATAAAAACCTAGCCTCGAAATCTAGATTGGTTGACCCGAATCAGATAAGAAATCTAGAGAATAGTTCAGCTATACCACTCACTAAATGCAGTTACATGTAACCATACAATAGGCTGGATGGGATAGGATGACAGTTTTAAAATCTAATGTAAGGAGGGAGAGATTGATAACAACGGAAGCTTTGTTTATCGAATCAACTGAAACGGGTGAATACATGTAATAGGAATGATTCAACACCTGTCCACAAAGATATCTTGAAAATTCTACTACCACGCCTACGACGACGACGACAAATAGGAGAGTACAAAGAAAACTATAAAACTCAAGTTTCGAAATCGTGTGATTATAATTGATGGTGAAATGATTATGAATAGCAATGATGAGTTGTGTTCGAAACTTTGTCATCCAGTGAGTAATATTAATACTGTTTCACTGTGTGACTGTGTGATACATCTAAGAAAGAAACTAATATGGAATTACTTACTTACGCCACATTGGCCAAGTTTTACACATATATATTAATTACGTAGTTATGCTTGGTTGCTCGACTACCACTTGCCAGTATCAAATAAATCACATGCTGTGAACTGAATAACTTGGATTCGCTCTACAGAATCTGTAGTGTAAGGAGCACAGCTAATTAGCTGTCATTTTGAATTTGATAGTGTATGAGCACTATTCGAAGCATTTTCCTAGGAATCACTGAAGTGCTGTCTAGGACTGCTTAACTTCTTCACTCAGTATTTCGTCTTCCGCCAAAACACTTCATCAATTCACACCAGTGGCACAAAAAGAGGAATCGAAACCTGGATCTTCAGTTAATGAGGTCAAGCTTGTTATCCATTGAGCCACTTGGTCCGGACTTTTGTGACCTAGGAATTTTAATTTCTCTCAGTAGGTGATATACCACTAACCACTTCGACATTTAGCTTAGGCGTTTTTGTAGGATTCATACTGCTGAGGAATCCCAAACTAGGACAAAATACACGTCCTACACTTGTCTTCTATGCTTTGTTCAAGTTTATTAAATTGGGAGAATTATATTAAGCTTCTTCTTCTTTATAGATGATAAGAACAGAAGTTGCTGTAAAAACAGGTGACTCAAAAAACATTTTCTGTGCCCGAAGTGATACTGCATTCACCGGTGGCTGACTACACGAAGTTAGCGTCTGGAATTGTAGTAAGAAGTCGTGACCAATGAATGTTGTCCATCAAGCTGGGTGTGTATGATTTTAATGACGATGGTGTTATATATATATATATATGTTAACTCATAGAAAATTCCCATTGTAACATATAGGAGAATATCAAAACAAGTGATCCATCCATTCAGTGAAGAGACTTTTTTCAACAACATATTTATAATCAAGTTGTACAATCGAACAAATATATATGGTTTCAAGAGGTTATATACAGTGAGGGAATCGAATCATAGGTCTGGGTGAATGCATAAAATAATAATAGTATGAAATTTAATTAAAACTAAAATGTTTGTTTCGTTACAGGATTTCATCATGAGCTGACATTGGTTAGAGAACCATTGGAAAACCTGGGAGTATTGGATAGCTGTTTCATCCTAATTTTAGACTCTGCATCAGTATGCACCCACCAGGGTTCGAACCCAGGACCGAGTTCTGGGTACAAGGCCAGCGAGCTTGTTTACCATGAAGCCACTGGGACCCGATCTAATGGCCTATGAATTCTAACTTCTGCCAGTTCACGCACGATATAGCGTAACCGTTAGCCAATATCTTTGGCGAGTATTTGTCCTCACACCCAACCTGTTGCACCCTACTGGTCACGACTTCCCACTAGAACCCCAGGTAACTACCTACCTGAATAGGACCAGTCGTTAGTGAGCATCTTCCCGGGTTCGAAGCCCGGTGGGTGCGTACTGATGAAGAGTCCCAAACTAGGACGAAACAACTGTCCAGTACTCTCAGGTTTTCCAGTGGTCCTCTAACCAATGTCAGCTCATGATGAAATCCTGTAACCAATCAACCAAGTCCCTACAAACCAATACTTGAATAAAATGTCTGTCGTTATAATCATAGTTGAGTATCATGTCAAGTGGCAAAGCAGTTAATGTCATATACAGAATAATTCATAGGATGGATAGAACGTGAAAAACGGTGTGCAATTATAGGATTAGTAGACAAATAGAATAAAATAAAATTGTTACGTAATAAATATTGTGTGAAATTTGATAGCATAGAATTTAACGTTGTAAAAAGAAAAGAATTGATTTAGAATGACAAGTGTTGTGAGTGAAATAGTACCGGGGACATTTCAGAGTGAGAACAGTAATAGTGGTAACAATTGACGTAATAAAGGAAGAGTATACAAACTGAATAGACAAAATGAAAAATTGGTAGAGCTAAAATATGACAAGGGATTTGTAATTTTTAGCAAAGAGGCATTAGGACCATGATAGTTGCCCTACTAGGCAGGCGACATCTGCCTTCAGCGCATACTTTAATTTGAATGGAAGTGAGCTTTTCGATTTCTCCACGAGTATATTAATCATCTCTCCTGGTCGATGACCTTGGACGTGATAGGCATCAAACAAAAATGCAACACACATGCTGGATGGAATGCGCATAAACCAAATCTATGCCTAACAACGCACTTCCAATTCAACGGCCAAATATATATGAACAAGTCAAAGGAACACCCATGGGATGGATGGATCGTCAATATCAGGTTTGACTGCAGAAGCAGTGATGGAAAGGCTTGAAAACATAATTCTACCAAAGATCAAACCCAAGGTTTGGATACATTACGTAGACATTACATTTGTAATAATCAAAAGAAACGAGTTAGATAAAACTCACAACTTAAGAAACAATGTCTTCAACGACATCAAATTCATAAGAGAAGAAGAATCTGAAAACAAAATCGCATTTCTGGACGTCTTAGTCGAGCGAAAAACCACATGGGAATTAGAAACTCAAGTTTATAGAATATCGACTCACACAGACCAAATACTCAGTTACAACAGCAACAATCCAATAACTAACAGAAAGATGTGCTTAAGTGTTGGTTTGTAGGGATTTGGTTGGTTTCAGGATTTCATCATGAGCTGACATTAGTTAGAGAACCATTGGAAAACAAGCTGGGAGTACTGGACAGTCCTAGTTCGTCCTAGTTTGGGACTATTCAGCAGTACGCATTCACTGCGATATATATAAAGGATATCTCAGAAATCACTGCAACACTCTTCAAACCTTGACGAGGGATTTACGTCTCACACAAACCAACAAAATCACCTCACTCAGCTGGCTTCATATCAACCAAATGACAAACTCAACAACGAAACAAGAAGAAGATAAAACCAACATCGTCTACAAAATCAATTGTAACAACTGCAAAAAACATTACACTGGCAAAAGTGGACTCCTCTCCTCTGTCTTTGTATCCACAATCATATGCTAGCCATCAAAAGACATGACATCCACTCCCCCACTCACTCATATCGCCTCACTGCATACAGACAAACACGGACATCAATTCGACTGAGACAACCAGCGTTGAAACAATATTAGACAGAGGAAACAACACCGAGAATGCTAGAGAATTTTTACAAGCCTACCTGATATTCCAGTGAATCATCAATCATTCGACACATCGAGATAGACAAAATTTATTAACCGATAAGAAAGAAACCTCACACACACATAAAGGGTGAAAGTTCAAGTCAAAGAAACAATCAGTTCCAATATCGATACAAGTAGCCTAGTGAGGGTCTGAAAACACACAAACACAACCATCAAAATTGAAGGTCATCGACCAGGAGAGATGACTAATAAACTCGTGGATATATCGGAAAGCTAACTTTAATTGAAATTGAAGTATTCGCTGAAGGAAGCTATCGCCTGACTAGTTAGGGCGATGAAAGCTTTGCAAATTAACTATCCAGTTAGCTCAGGGAAAACGACTACATAAAAATACATACTCGTTTATTGTACAGGTAATTCACACACTTTCATACTCTTTAGTACCTTACCACTCACACTCTTGTTGGAAAATACACCTATCCATTTGTTGACGTGGTGGTGATCTTCTGATTTTCCTCTTTCGCGTCAGGACAAATTAACTAACTATTCAGCAATACCAGGCTGTACACGTTATAGTCCGTTATATCTCACAATTAGCGTATATTTACCAACACTCGGTCACACCATAACATATTAGCAATGAGTTAGTTCATAACAATAAGTTTTGTGACATGAAAAGTAACAATAGAAGATAAGTTAAGTACAAAAGTTTACATATACTTACATTGAATTTCAGGTGATGAATAAAGGGTTATCGGTTCACCTTGTATTTTAACTTTCCTCTTTCTATTTATCATCTTTTGATAACGGATCACATGATCTATAACCAGTAGGACGACAACTGTGACCGAGAAAAAAAAAGAAGTCAAGATAAAAATTGAAGAAATTCAAAAACAAGCATTCAGACGATATTCACTGAAATCTATGGAAAATCAAGGCATTTGTTTCTGCTTTCTGATTGGACGCTTGCACAACGCCAAACTCTCAACCGGATTGGTTGATTTCCAGTCTACCTTATTTTCTGTATAAATACAGTCACTTTTGTCATATATAAATGATTCTGGTTTTACCGCTGATTATCGCGTGTTCTGCTTTACTAGTTAAGTGGGCACTGGTCAGTAGTTAAGCAGTTACCTCGTGACAAAAGATCCAGCATCATAACACTATCCGGTCCCATGTCCGGGTTAAAAAATGAGGGACGTTATGGGCGTGGGGCTAGCAATTCTACGTCATATAAGTTATAAAATTGCTAGAGGAACTTCAGCGTAAAAGAAAAATACTAAAAATGCCAAAAAAATTAAAAATTATATCTATTTGTAAACTAAGATCACAATGGAATTGCCACAGTTCATTAAAGATACTTAAAGTACAGTTTAAATAATAATAATAGGATAATAATAACAGGATCATTGAAACCTTGATGGCCAAGCGGGTAAGGATAATGTCTGAACGAATTAACTTCTTTTGTATGCACAAATTAGGCTTGTTTAAATGGATCGCAACAGCCAGTCAGCTTCATCAGTATTTAGTAGTCGAACTCTTAAGGCGAAATTGAGATTCGCCTTGGGAGTAGTTTGACTGCTAAATATTGATGAGGCTGGCTGGCTGACCGTGTTGGGATTCATTTTAACAAGCCTAATTTGTGCATACAATAGAAGTTGGTTCGTTCAGACTTTATCCTTACCCGCTTGGCCATCAAGGTTTCAGTGATACTGAATTTTCGTTGAATTTTCCTAATTTCAGTTGATATTTTATTTGCTACTATATCTTTGCTATTATTTTAATTTAATCATCTTTAGAAACTAATAAAAACAATTTTATTGTTCGCTGGAATCGAAGAGTCAAAATGACACAGCGGGCTGGCCGGCGATAGCCAGGCTTCGGGAAGTCAGTCAGTTAGCCAACCAGCCAATGTGTCTTCTGTCGACAAGAGCAAGAATAAGAATTGCTACTGAGAATGTATGTAGAATGTACAAAACTGAGAAGGCTGTCTAGGTAAGGGTAGAAATGAGAAGATATGGCATTATGAGTTAGACTGTGCCCAAGGAGCGAGAAGATTGGAATACTCTGAACTCAGTGACAAGAAGACTCTAGAACATTTCGCGTATGGATGATATGTGTCCAGTATAACACAGACACGAAGATTTAGGGGCAGGCGAAAACCAACTAACTGGCTGAACAACCAGAGAAAACAGGAATGCAGGTGAATATAGAGAAGACGAAGAAAACCGTCCAACAACAACCAATCACCATTGACAGGAGGGATTTCACAGAGGTCGTTCCCTTCATTTATCTTGGAAGCAGGCTTTGAACCACAGCCAGTTGGAACGGATGAAGATTTCAAAGCCAGCTAAAATCGGAGTGGCTAAATACGCCTTTACCAAGCTAACACGAGTTTGGTAATGTTCTGCACTCACTGGATTTTCAGTCAGTCAGTCAGTTCTTCTTCTTCTGCATGGGTCAGAAACTTACACTGTGTGTGCGTCATGAACAGCATTTCCAACAGCTGACTGTAGACTTTTATCCAGAGTTGCCAATTTCGCTGGCTGGCTGGCTGGCTGCACAGGGATGAGTGAATGGCCAGTCAGGCAGTCTGACGGTTTCAATATGTCTTGCTTTTAACTTGACCAAACTTGTCTATTTTCTCACTCACCTATTAACTCTTTGTTCTATGTATAAGCTGAGTGGATTTTGTAAATTCTTCTGGTTTAATAATAATACTACTTTGAAAAAGCTATTAGAAGCAGCAACATTAAAAATAGCGAAACGTCGTCAGTAAGAGCAACGACAATATCATTTTGCTATTTTTCATTCATTCATTCATTGGGAAATACAAAAATCAACCTTTATTATAATGAATATCATATACCAACCACCCGATGCCCAAATTGTTTTTTTCAAACTGTTAAAAGTGAACTTGGGGTTTGGACATATATATAATAAATATTTCGTTGAAATTTTTTTAATAAAGAAAGGAAGACGAAATTTGCAGTATAAAATGATATCATCATTCTATTTCACAGGTTCTCATCAGCTAACTGCAGACTACCTGAAATTACAATGGTTATATAGATGATAATAACATACTTTAATGTTCGAGTGGTGGTAGAAAAGAGATACTATAAAATTGACGCATCTAAATGAAAGCATTACAATGTTTTTTAGTTTAAGTTTTCATCATCAATTTATACGCTTTTAAAGTTGAAAAGAGGGGGGGGGGTAAGACAGAAAACAGAAAAAATTGATTAACAGAACAGTGTTAGCTTGTAGCTTTTCACATAGCAACTCAAGAAACAAAAACGGTTACAGTTTATGAGATTAAGATTTGTTCAGTGAGTTGAGATCACTGAATTAGATGACTAATCAAAATCAAAATTCTGTTACCAAGGGAGTGAGAGGTTAATCACACTCTCTTTCTGTATGCATAAGTCTGGTTTAAGTCTTTTGATTGCGATTGCTTCGGCAAATCGTAGTAAATTTGCTGTCCTTTGTCTATTTAATATTTTGAAGGACTTAGAAATCTCTACGAGATGTCCGGTATCAATAATGTGTCTGGTAATTGCACTCTGGGAATATCTGCTTCCTTTCAGGCACAGGTTTTTGGGAAATGTTCAGAAAACCGGATAGAAGCCCTTCTTTCTGTCCTTCCAATGTACTTGCTCCCGCAAGTGCACGTGAATTCATAAACGCAGTTGGAGGTGACATCAGCAGGGTATTTATCCAGTTTTGAGTGGATTAAAGAAGGAGTGGTGCTGTATACTGTTATGAGTTTTGCTGCTGGGAAGCTTCTATTTATTGCACCTTTCAGTCTTTTGTCAATCTTTTGTGACACTGCATCTCCTTTGTATGGTAGACAGATAAACACTTTTTCTTTTCTACAGTTGGATGCTTTTCTTTCTCATCTTTTTCTCTGCTGTACTTCTGAATAAATCCCTTAGGGTATCCATTTTCCCTTAGGCATTTCTCGACGAAAACTAATTCTTCTTCGACCCTGTTTGGTGAACATAGCTTCCTGGCTCTGTCATACAAAGTCCTCACTAATCCACGTTTATAGCTTATGGGACAAAAGCTGTTATAGTGAAGATATTGTCCAGTCCAGGTTTCTTTTCTATAGATGGACTTTTCGACCGTGCCTTCGTTTGTTCTTTTTACATTTAGATCCAGGAAATTGAACTCATTATTATGTTCATATTCCATGGTGAATTTGATATTTGGATGTATCTCATTTAGGCGATCATATAGTGCCGATGCGTGATCCATATCGTTGCAAACAACAAATGTGTCATCAACATATCGGCGATAGTAGGTAGTTCCATTGATAGCAGAACTTAGTTGTGTCTGCTCAAGGTAGCCCATGAAGATATCAGCCAGGATAGGTCCCAGAGGCGAACCCATCGCGACCCCATCGGTTTGTCGGTAAAGTTGATTGTTGAATTTGAATTGTATATCTTTTGTGCAGAGCAGTAGAAGTCGCTTCATCTCTGTTTCCGGTAATGGTAGTAGATCCGTTTGTTTACAAATTATATCAATTGTTTCCATCAGTGGTACATTTGTAAACAAGGAGGTCACGTCATACGATACCATGAGTTTGTCTGATATGTCGATATTGTCAACTTCCTTGGAAAATTGATAACTATCCTTCAGGCTGTGGGTTGCAAATTTAATTCGAATGGGCTCTATAGAATCAGCTCACCATCGAGCTAGCACTGCGGTAGTAGGTATTTCCATATAAGCTTGTTTATTAGATATATCACACACAGTCATTGAGTGAAGCAGCATTAGTATGACTTACTGGATGACAAAGTTTCGAACACAGTTCGTTATTGCTTTTCGTAATCATTTCATCAATTATAATCACACGACTTCGAAACTTGAGTTTTATAGTTTTCTTTGTTCTCTCTTATTTGTCGTCGTCATTGTGGTAGTGGAATTTCCCAGATATCTGGGTTGACACGTGTTGAATCATTCCTAATACACAATCTAGTACCCTGCAATGATTGTCAGGTCAAACACATAGATGGGTCAAACTAGTAGAACAGGGCCAGTGAGTCAGACTAGCCGAGCATAAAACCCCAGCAGAGAAACCTTGATTGGTTGACCCGAATAAGATGATAAATCTGGAGAATAGTTCAGCCATCGAAAGCACTACATGCAGTAACACACACACAACCATACAATGTAAGAGGATGGGATAGGATGAAAGTTTTAAAATCTAGTACAGCTAACAAGGTGGAGGGAGAGATTGATAACAACAGTAGCTTTGTTTATCGAATCAACTGAGAGTGAATCTGTGCAATAGGAATGTGAAAAAGTCTACTATTCCACCGACGACGACAAATAGGAGAGTACAAAGAAAACTATAAAACTCAAGTTTCGAAGTCGTGTGAATATAATTGAAGAAATGATTACGAAAAGCAATAATGAATTGTGTTCGAAACCTTGTCATCCAGTAAGTAATACTAATGCTGCTTCACTCAGTGACTGACTGTGTGATACATCTAATAAGCAAACTCATATGGAATTACTTACTACCAACACCATAGTAACCAAATTTTACACACATTTATTAATACAACAAAGTAGTGTTAAAATGGAGTCATTTTATACTCTGTTGCTCCCTGTTAGCCAGTCAAATGATGAAAAATTCAGTTGAACTGAAGTGAATTGAATACAAATTATTCAAATAATTTAAATATTGAATCATTATTGAAAATAGATATGATGGATACTAAAATAATGTGACATTTACATAAATATGTTGTTGTTAATTTGACAGCTACACTCAATTTTTCGCGTTTATTGGTAATTCCAGAAAATATTTCTTGATTATTTCTACACATG